AAACAAGGAGGGGGACAACATATACGAGACTCTTAAATATACAGAACAAGCAGAGGGTTGGTTGTGGAGGGGTTGTTGGGGGGGATGGGCTAAAAGGGTAAGGGGCATTAAGGAATCTACTCCTGAAATCATTGCCACACTGTATGAATAACTTGGATATAAATTAATAATTTAATTAATTTTAAAAATTCCATTCATAAGTTAAACTGGTCTATAATTTTCCTTTCAGCCATCTTTGTTAGTTTTGATACAAGCTTCTGGCTAGTTTCATAAAATAAGTTGGGTATCTTCCATTTCACAACGTTTGGTAACAATTTGTATAGCATAGAATCTACAGGAAAAATCTCCCAGAAAATGACAGGATTCTATGAAAGATTTTTTTTGTTGAGAGAGAGAAAGAGAGAAAGAGAGCACAAGAGCATGAGCTGGGGAGGGGCAGAGGAAGAGAGAGAGAGAGAGAGACAGAGAGAGAGAATATAAAGCACATTGCACACCTAGAGAGGAGCCCAATGCAAGGCTCTATCTCACCGCCATGAGATCATGACCTGAGCTGAAATCAAGAGTCAGACACTTAACTGACTGAGCTACCCAGGCATGCCATGAATGATATTGCTAGCAGTTTATCCAATATTGATTCTCCCATTATTCCTTACTATCAGCATCCTGATTTTGACCAGGGCTGCCATGTACATTCATTTAAAAATCTTCCATTTCTGGGGTGCCTGGGTGGCTCAGTCGGTTAAGCATCTGACTTTGGCTCAGGTCATGATCTCACAGCTTGTGAGTTCGAGCCCCACGTTGGGCTCTGTGCTGACAACTCAGAGCCTGAAGCCTGCCTCAGATTCTGTGTCCTCTTCTCTCTGTGCCCCTCCCCTGTTTGTGCGCTTTCTCTCTCTCTCTCTGAAAAATAAACATTAAAAAAAAATTTTAAAAATAACAAAATAAAAATCTTCCATTTCCCAGCCTTTTTTGTAGCTTAGAGATGTCCATGTGACTTATGACCATGAACCTTATAGAGTGCAAGCAATGCTGTACTTAAAAGAAAACTTGTACTCTTAAACCTTTATTAAAAAACAGAAAAAAGGATAAAAATATACACGAGCAAATCAAATCAAAAATAAAGAAAAACATGATTAAAGAATAAAATTTCAGATGAACAGAAAAGACAAAGAAATATACTTTTGTTGATTTTTGCCTATAGGGCTCCAAACAAAGACTTCTCACTATCACTCAGAGTTCATATCTTATCATTACCTCCCTTGCTCTAGATAGGCTAGCATCCTCACTGTTCCTCGAATATGTCAACCAAATTCTGTTCTTATGGCTTTGGCCCTTCTGTTTCCTTTGCCTAAGATGCACTTCCACAGATAATTGCATGGCTTGATCCCTCTTTTCATGGTGGTTTCTGCTCACTTGAGAGAACTTTTCTAACTACCTCATCTGAAACAGCAGACCCATTCACTCTGTCCTCTTACCTTGCTTTATTTATATTCACAGCACTTATCATTTCATTCAAGAAGTTCTCTACAAAGTTCTTTCCTACTTTTAGGGACCAGATGATTCCCCTATAAACTATTTCAGGGTAATGAAAAGCCATCCAGTTCATTTCACTTAGTAAGAATAACCAAAATCTGACCACAGCAGTTCTCAAAAAAGAAAAAGGCATTCTTATAAGCCAATCTCATTTGCAAATAGATGCAAAAATCCTGAATGCTATACTTACATTAACCCCAGATAATGTGTACAGCATAGTCCAAGATTTTAGCTAGAAATAATGGGCAAGCCATCCCAATAAGTATGGCCCCATCAAAGTTGTGTGAAAAGCATTCTCCTGCTGTGATTAAAACTCATAATGGCAAGCACTGGAAAAGATACATAAAAGGACCCTCCTGGCATGTGGAGGGGAAAAAAGAATGCAACTGATGCCACTAAACAAACACACACACACAGTCTTAAAAATGTTAGACCTTGTTTTTCAAGTGTATTTAGCAAGACAAAGAAAACCCAGAATATA